CTAGAAAAAGAACACAATGTAAGGTGATCTCAGTGAAGCAATTTTTCTTCATAACTGTTACTTTAAAAGTAATGCTGCCTTAATGAAGACAAATATGAATGTTAACAGGAAACCTCATGTCTTTTCAGCTGCATTACTTGTTTCTAAATCTAAGCAGTGAAAAAGTTTTAGCTTTGCAAAATAAGCTTCATCAGAGGTGAGACACTGAACATGTCATCCTATAAATTCTAATATTTTTATTATTATAATTGTTACCACTTCTTACCTCAAATATTTCTACTGCTAGAAATTAGGCAGTAGTCATCTGTTGTTTGTAGTCAGTTTATCCTCCTTTGGCTACAATTCCACTAGTTTTTCTTTTGACCTACTCCTAGATGCTTGATGAGTGTTAAAGAAATTGAAATAAGAGCTTTTTCAGTGATAACTAGAAAATTAAATCATCACTGCAGTGTGCTCTGTACTTGCTTGTTCTGTGGCCAGGCAGGGCCTTTAATGAATACCTGAAACTGGAATACCAGGAGGGCTTACAGGCACCTCAGCTATTCAGGACCCAGCACACTTCTCTATTCCATCTGTTTCAAATGATGCTCTGATGTATTACCCTGTGACTGTTTTGAAAAGGAGGATGGCAGAAAAGTGTGCTGCTGTCTTATTTATTATTCAAGATCTGGCTGGTGTTGTCTGGCTGAGTATTTTTACTTTTATGATGTACCTGTAAGAACTAGGTAAAAAGCTTGTGTTTCTGGAGGGAAATGATGGTATTCACCAACAAGACCCTCAGTAGTTCATGTAGATGCAGAGCTATTGAAGAAGTTGCAGGTTTTTCATTTCTGCTTAAAACCAACCAAACAAACAAACAAAAGAAAGTAGAACAGCGTGTTTGCCATGACAGAGAGTGCTTACTATATGACAACTGACTTAGCAATAATGCCTCTATTTTTCAATAATGACCTTTAAGCCTTGTAGCACCCCTCCTAGGCAAAGTATCATGTTGCCTCCTTTTTCATCTCCTGGTGAGCATATTCTATTTTCGTAAGCTTGTGTGTACAAAATTGAATTTCATTTTTCCACTACATAACATCTGGTGTTATTTTAGTACAGTTTTTCTGAGACGTTATACATTATAATTTGAGCCCAGGGGTTTGCTCACTCTTAGGATCAGTAAAGAAATCAAACAAGCAAAAGCTATCTTTCTGCCCCAGATCTCTAAGGAATTACAGTTGCCTGAAGAAGATAAGTCCAGAAGCCACTTGTGTTAAAAATATTTATCTTCTTTTAAAAGAAAAGCACTCACCCGTGCTTTAACATCATGAATAGAATCAGACTGTGACCAGCAGGACGTATGTGTTTAATTGTTTGTCTCCTTGACTAGTATGTGAGCATAGGCACGTTTCTTGAGTTACGGAGAAGGATAAAAGAGAAGGATATGTGAATTACCCTTCAGAGGCTTGTGAAGCCATATAAAAATTTATGAGCTTGCTGCATTATTCAAGGTATGTATTTTTATTACAGATCTGAGCAACATAGGGGACAACTGATTTATTGTTATAGTCACACTTTACATAAGGAATGCTTTACACATACTATTTTACTGCATGTATTTTTAAAAGTACAGCATGTGCTGCATGTATTTTAAAAAGTATCTTTGCAAAATGCCAGTCTAAGTTTATTTTTAAGGAAAGCAGAATTTTATACACACAGCCAGATGTAATCTGTTTGTGTTGTGGTATACAGTCCATTACTTAATGATTGAAAAAATCTCATCATCTGATCCAGTAGCATCTTATTTGGCATAGAGGCTAGAAAGCGAAAATAGAGATACGCCTTAAAATGCAATACAATTTCTCTCTACAGTAGCATTTTTATTATGTCATAGAGATTATTTATATATATATATAGATAGTGACTGATAAACATCAGGTTCAGATCACTTTGTAGTAGTGAGCTGGTTTTGGTCAAACACAAGGGATAGGATTCCTCTCATTCTAACACTGCATGCCTAATGACTAGTCTAAGTCTAGACTGCAGTCTGTGATCAGTGCCCTAACATTGGTGGCTCGAGTTGCTTCCTGGAGAAAAAGACCAGGCAACTACCTTAGGTACTGAAAACCAAATAATAGACACTTCCAAGTAACTGCTAGTAGACTGGTTTGGCATTAAAACTAGAAACTGTATCACCTGAACTGAAAAGCAAAATGATTTCTTTTTTCAGTATGCTGTTGCAGATCCTCATCTGCACAAGTTTTGGTTGCCACCTCCCAGGTTCCTACCCTAATTAAATCTCCATGTTAGCAATAAATTCCCTCTTGCTGCCTGCTGGGCAGTCCAGCCTGTGGAGGGGAGTGGCAGACCACAGATTTTAATCTTCACTTTCCAAAACACAAGATGAAATACTGTAGCTGAATATTGTCCCTGAAATGGGATGGTTCACTGTTGAAACAGGTTTAATTTGTCACTGGTTTGTGCTTTACAAAAAAAAAAATGGAAGACAGTTGTGGCTTAGATATTTGGGCATTTGATGTTTAAATTGGGAACTTAAAGCAGTCCATTTGTACTTGTGGCTGCTGTTTCATTACCCATTCCACTGCTTCCATAGTGTGGGTGGAATATGCCTTTGTGAAGCTGAAACTGTCTGTCTTTTCTCAAAGACCCTAATGAAGATCAATCGTGCAGTCAGCAGTTATTTTCTTTCCAAGAATTCATCTTAATTTTGCAATTTGTGGATGGTTCCTGCTACATTAGATATATTTTTCCTTTGAGTACGGTGATCCAAAATCAAATGAATAAGAGCTACAGGATGTGGAAGAGTGCTGCACAACTTTCTTTGTGGCCTGCCTAAGGCAGCCTTTCTGTAAGCTGACATTTGGTTACATGGGACATACAGCAGAGCTGCAGTCTGCTGTAGGGTGGCTGAGTCATTCATTCTGGAATCCCTTTGCTTGTCACTACTCTGGACACAAGTGGTACATCTGCACACCTAGAACAGCTTTTCCATCCATAATTCTTTGCTGAAGGGAATTCTAGAGTCATGAGATGCTTGCATGTCTGATGATGTCCTGAAAGATCAGCCTCACCAGACCCACTTTGAGCTTAGCGTCTATGTAAGTAGGACTGAATACAAAGCTGGGAATATATTGAACTAATTACATTTAATATTGTTAGACCATACCTACCTGAAAGAAACAATCTGAAATCATTGGAACTGAGTTTAGTTATTTGCAGTTTGCATATTTTCCAGACCATGACTAGTCCAAGTCTGTAGTGTAAGAAAATGTCTTTAATTTGTGATTGAAAAGCATTTTTCTCCAAAGGTTGCCAGGCCTAGACTCTGACAGAGTAGGTTTTATCTTATAATTAAATTAGTAAAAGCGAGTCATCGTTTCTATTTTGATTTTACCATAGGATGTGGTTTCCCATTTTGTCCTGCTAGGAGTAGACACTACACCTGTTAATAAAGAACAGGACTGGATCATCTGTTGACAAGCTCATTTATTTTTACTGCCATGTATTGGATGAAATCTAGCCCCTTGCACAAATCCTGTATTTGGCTCCCCTGGACACACACAATCCAAACTTTCTCTATTGCATTTAGATGGGATGAGTGTTCCATGTGGCTTTTGCCAGGCACACTGGGTGAGGCCCATAGTCTTCTAGCTCAGGATCCTACCTTCAATGGCAACCAGTAGTGGATGTTTGGGGAGCAGTATGGACACCAGATCAGAGACTGAGTGGTATCTACATGATTATGGCCTCCCTGCTTCTAGCATTGACTGTTGTATGGACTGTTGGAGAAGGGTGAAGTGCAGCATCTATTAATAACCCTTAATAACCCTTCCAGATTTATCTTCTGTTAATTTGTCTAACCACCTTATTCTTTCTTTCAGGCTTTTAACCTCTGTATTGCTGGGGAGCAATAAATTTTGTAACTCATTACATGTTTTGTGGAAAAGTACCTCTTGTTTTCTGCTGTTTCTAGCAGGAACTGAGAATATCCTGAAGGGGAATGTTTTTAGGAGCAAAGTTATTCATACACAAGTCTCAAATTATCTTCAATAGCATGCTCAGCCAAATCTGAAAAAGAATACAAGTACACATTAATTAAGAATTAACATAATTCTGTTCCTTGAGTATGGTGTTTATTAAAATATAAAATCTGTGAACATACACTTGAGAGGAAGCTTCTAAATGTTTTAAAAGCTTAATTTTCAGTCACTATTTTTTTCATTAAAAGAGAAGAAAGAAGATGACACTTGACTTTCTGAAACTTTCCATTTGCTTCTCAGATATACCATCAAAAAGTTGCTGAGTGTCCTTAACTCTGCTGGTAGGGCAAAATCAGAAATGATTTAGATTTACACGAAAAGCAGAGACATAGGATGACATTTTCAAAAGTGCCTGAAAGCTGCATTAGTGAAACTGTTCAGACAACTAAAGGACCAAGAAAATATGCAAAGGAATTTTCAGGCATATATGCTGACCATTAATGCAGTATTCATATTTGAATTTTGAGAAATTTACATTGTCAGTCACTGAAATGCTTTTAGAAATCTGATTGCTTGTTGTAGTACCACAGATGAGTTTTTCAAAACTAATTCTGTGATGGAAGACCTAAGCATCTGGTCAATTCCACCACTGTTTGGAAAACAGGATTTAGCCTTTGTCCTGTCACACCAAGTAGCATAACACCTAAATACTCTTCTAAGTGTTGGTGAACAGTCCCTCAGTAGTAACCTGAGCTCTCACACCATGTCACAATTAGCCACACTGGTTGGAAATACTAATGGTCCTAGGGAGGCTTTGCATCCCAGAAAGCATCTTTCCCCAGAATTGCTGATGTGAGAGATGCACAGCACAACAGGGACCAGTTTGCATCCGGTTGCATCTCACAGAACGAAGAAGGCAAAGTTTAGTAATGAATCTCAGCTCCCTCTCAGTTTGTATCCACTTTGCCCTGCATATCTGTTTTTTCTGCTGATTTAATGAACCTCTGTGTTTTTCAGAATGCCAAAGCCAGCTATGACTTCAGCAGTAATGATCCCTACCCTTACCCCCGCTACACAGATGACTGGTTTAACAGGTAAATGGGTTTTGATCAACCTGCTTTTTGCTTTGGTTTGCTTAAGAAATCAGAATTGTATGCTGGTATTTGTGGAATGTTTGCTTTCTGCTAAGTTCTATGGTTGCCAAAACAGAAGCTGCAGTCTTCCTACTGTTTGAAAATTAGAGGTTACTTCTGACTTCATTTTTTTAGGTAGCGTCTAGATAATGCTAAACAACCATTTTATAGTTTATAAATGCAGTTGCTGCTTCAGAAGAGTATACATGTGAATTGTTTGAATGGTTGATAGCCATATAACATTTTCTGTCAGCTATCCTAGACATTATGGTAGTCCAAATCTGTATATGCTTAATATAGATGGGTTTTTCATCTACTGTTTCTGAGGCACTATCACTGTGAGCTAATTTTTTTTAAAAAGTAAGCTGGAACAGGTTGTGGATGCCCCCTCCCTGGAAGTGTTCAAGGCCAAGTCGGACAGAGATTTGGACAACCTGGTCTAGTGGGAGGTGTCCCTGCCCATGGCAGGGGAGTTGGAACTGGATGATCTTTAAGGTCCCTTCCTACCCTAAACATTCTGTGATTCTTTAACCTGGAGACAGGAAAAGTCTTTGGGAGTAAAGAAGTATTTTTGTCCGATTATAGACTAAGAAGGGAGAAAAGAAGCATGGTGTAGAATGACCAGTTGAAAAACAATTAAATATTACATAACTTCTGCTTTGGAGACCCCAACACAAAAAGGACATTGAAGTGCTGGAGCGGGTCCAAAGGAGGGCAACAAAGATCATCAAAGGACTGGAGCACCGTTTTTAGGAAGACAGGCTGAGAGAGTTGGGGTTGTTCAGCCTGGAGAAGAAAAGGCTCCAGGGGGACATTATAGCAACCTTCCAGTACCTGGAAAGGGTCTATGAGAAGGCAGGAAAGAACTGTTTACAAGGTCATGTCGCAATAGGATGAGGGGTAATGGTTTTAAACTAGAACAGGGTAGATTTAGTTTGGATATCAGGAAAAAGTTCTTCAGTATGAGGTTGTTAGATCACTGGAACAGGTTGCCCAGAGAGGTGGTGGAGGCCCCATCCATGGAGATATTCAAGGTCGGGCTTGATGGGGCTCTGAGCAACCTGATCTAGGAACATTGTCCCTGCTTACTGCAGGGGGGTTGGACTAGATGACCTTTAAAGGTCCCTTCCAACCCAGTACATTCTATGATTCTATGATTCTGAAGCATCTGTCTTCTCACCGTGATTTACAGACAGTGTACATGGGTAGCATTTCAGGGCTGATTCTGAGATATTTCTAGCTGCTGGAGGTATTAAAGCCCAGGAACACTGACTGGGAATGTGTTCTATTGTGTTTGTAAACCTGGAATCAACAGTGCAGCTATGCTTGTTGTGATATTTCTATTGCATCGTGATTTGCCAAAGACCCACTCCCCTTTCAGTATGTTCTGAACTTAGCCAGTTTCCAGCAGGTGAAGGTCTGGTCCTCAAAGTATGGTATAAATAAGAATAGCCCAAAAGGAAAGGCTTCAGATTTTAGGAAATGTGACCTTTTTTGTTTTCCAAAACTTATTTTTGGTAAAAAATGAAACAGGAACGTGTGTAGATGGGTTTTTTAAAAATCTCTATGCCCTCAATTCTGCATCTGTCCCATGAAAAAACCCTTTCTGTCAAACTAACTGCTCCTAGTGGGATATAACATAGTCAAGGGTGTAGAGTCCAAGGCACACTCAATGAGGTGTGTTTATTACATGGTGATAGCCAGCAACTCTGGCTCAGTGGTATACTCCCCAGTGTCTCAGGCAGGTTTGAACTTGGATTTATTAAAATTGTTTCAGGATATCTCCAGTGAAATTTCCAGAACTCTTCTAGATGTAAATTGATTGTAATTGCCACCATTTACATAGCAGCAGCACTGAGGATTTGAAAACTTTTAAAGGTTTCAGGGCTCAGTCTTAGTGCTTACCAAAAAAATATCTAGGCCTATTTGGTGTAGTTTTCATTTCTAACTCAATATGGTTGTATGGATGGCCTCCAATTTTTGTATGTTTTTTTGGGGGGTGTTTTTGTGTGTTTGTTTGTTTGTTTTTCCCCTAAAGAAATCAATTTTAGTTCTGCCAGAATGACACAACAAAGATGTGGAGCAGCTGTGCTTCCACCTCAGACACAGGCTTCCTGAAATGAATCAGACAGATTTAGGAGCTGTGACTACTTTGTAGTCCTGCCATTTTTCAGCCAAAGTGAGATTTCTCCTTCATTTCAGGAACAGACACCTGATACTTTTAAGCTAGTATGAATCCAGTTAGTGAATGGAAAGTCAGAGAAAGACTAGGGCTCTAATCTGTGAAGGTCTGCAGCCTTTCTTGCTTTATTTATGCAAAGGATCTTTGTAGGAGAAAGGTATCACTTAGCTCTAGAGCAGCATGGAGGAAATTTAAACTTTACTGGGTAATGGTAGCCTGTGTCATTTTCAGTGTGGAACTTCATAAAACTATGTTCTGCCAAGCCTCACTAACACTGATTGTGCTGCTATCAAGTATTTTACAGTGGGGCACAGTTTGCAGTCCTTGTGTTCAGCAAAGTGGCCCTGGAGGCAGAATTACCTCCTAAAGTCTCTTAAAATGGGCCTTGGGCATCCTGGATGTGGCAAGGTTTACAGTCTCTGGCCCCAGATGCCTATGGCTGACTTCAGACACCCGAGTGAAGGATTAAGGATGAGCAGCATGGTCATCTGTGACCCGTTCTGTAATTAGTGAGAACAACATGATTCAGGTTTTCAGAGAACTGCAACGCTTACTTCTGTTTCTTTTTTTGAGGGAATGGAGAGCTCAAATTAGCAAGTCAGGAGGAGAAAAGTAATGCAGAAATTGTTTTGCTGTTTTCCTTCATTATACTTTACAGAGAAAAAATGATACCTATAGCATTCTTTGTCATGAACCTTGAGGTTCCTTTGGTGGGAGAGGGAATGTTCTGCCTTGCAAGGTAAATCGCAGGAGCAACACATTCCAGCAAAGCATCCCTTTCCTGCCTGCACAATTCAAGAAGGCTCTAAGATGCAAGATTTCATGTTTTGTCCAGGCTAAGATGCAAACGAACACACCATATCCAGCTGTTCAGGTGTAGTTGTGACTATGTCATTCTCTGCATATTTCTTGGCTATACCATTAATCTCACTGATGTGCTCATATATATTGTCAGAACTTCCGAGTCCTGAATTATTATTAATGGTAGGTTATAAATGTCTGCCTATGACAGTCAGTCTAGCCATATGTGTAGCTGGAAAGGTGCATCTGAATTAGAGAGCAGTTACACAGAAAAGCCATTCAAAAAACCTGCAATAAAGTCTCCATTTTGTTCAGTTTGCAGTCAGTGACATATCTCCTATTGAATTTTCTGCATGCAGGAGAATCAGACTCAAAATAGGATAGCGTAATATCCTGTTTTCCATGAGGAATACATTTCTGTGTGAGCAATTCAAGTGATTTATGGAACAAGGAGAGGCCTGTTTTTTAAAGTGATGAACCAAGAGGCTTTTTTGAGCTGCCAGCTGCATGTGCAAAGTGTCATTTAGACTTTAAGAAAAAAAACCTGAGAGGTTTATGCATGGAGTATTTCATTAATCACAGCTACTTTGCTTCTAAGCACAGATTCCTCTCCCACTTTGTGCTTTCTGAGGCTGTTGGAAGCACTTTGACCTTTCCATCTAATAACCACTAGCCTAGAAAACCAAGCAGGGTGGGTTTTGGAAGGGGGCAGCACGGTGCCTCAGGCAGGGAATTGCAGTCAGGTAGTTTTGCTGCTGTTACAGGGAAAGGCACATAGATGGCTGGGTAGACAAGGGATTTACTCCTGTGCTTACCATACTGACTGCTTGACTGTTCAGACCCACAGCTTGGGGACCAACCTGAAATGGGAGTCACTGGGGGCTGTGTTTGAGCCTAAGGAGCAATGGCAGCAGTGAGGGAACCTGACTCAAGCCCTGTCCCCAAAAGCAGAGGCAGCTCCACAGCACTCAGTGACTTTTAGGAAACACTTTGGGAACTGCCTGTGATTTTTAATACCCACTTCTTCTGAATCACATTCAGTACCTTGGCATGTACTGTCTTGTGCAGTGCAGAGGTACCCATAGGAGTCATAGATAGCTTGGCCTTTCTGTACGGCCTTCTGATTTCTTGTGAGCATGCAGAAGGTACAATTCAAGGCTCTCCATCTCAGAGCACTGAGATTACGAATTTCTGCCACGATATAAATAACCAGTAATTATCTCCACTCCTGTAGCCTTTTGTATTCTGTGTATTGTCTTACCCAGATAAGAGTTAGCTGGACAAAACTTATTCACTATCTTGGAAACCCATGTTCTTCAGAGGTAGAAATGTCCTTTACTTATTATGGATCCAAACAAAACACCATTTGGTCAAGGAAAGAACTCCCCTTGGCTTCCAGACAGCACTCATTAACAGGGTAAAAACACTTGCTTCCCTCTTCCTCATATTTCAATTAATACAATGGAAACAACATAATAAAGGAAAGTTTGTATAAACAGATTTAGCAGCTTTTTATATCTGCAGTGTTACAACACAAGTGTCAAGGAGGAGCGACAGCACTACTGCTGGTTCTTGGTGTGTTGGATGCAAGCACCATGTTCCCCAGAGTAGGGGAACGCTTTCCCTTGTGCAAATGTCATGTGAGTACAAAGGGCATTTGCCCCACGCAAGTGTCCCTCTGAGTTTTGAATATTTAACTGCTGCCCAGTGCAAGCAACTGAAGTGGTCGAGATAGGCAGATCTTCCCTGCTATTGAGACTGCAGCTCTGCGTAGACCCTCCCAACAGACAGCTGAAGTTAGGAAGGATGAATCCTGTCCTTTGCTGTCTGCAGAAGCATTTCAAAGCAGGTGAAAAGGAACCCAAATGAAAAGCTGTGCCAGCTCTGACTCTTTTAAAAAACATGTTGATAAAAGGTCATGTATAATAACATTGGTAGTGGATTTTTTAAATAGAAATATTTTTCAAAGACAAAGTAAAGTGAAGTTTTCATAACTAGTACAAGTATTTTATTTAAACAAGCTGAAGGCAAAGCTTTTTTGATTGAATCATTCTCTCCCACCTTAGTTTTCTGTGAATGTTCATGTGAAATGTTTGCATTTACGTAATGTTTATAGAAAACTTGCCCTGCATGCTAATATATGACTTGCTCTACATGCTAATATATGGTTTACTTTTGAAGTAACTTGTTCATGGGTGAAAATATTCTTGTTTTCTATCCCCCTGTTTTAAACATTGAAATAATAGTGAAGAGGTGAACATTGGAGCAAAAAGCTGTGATTTGTGCTCATTATATGGATCATAGAAACCACAATGGGTTTACAAATGATACATGAACAGTAAATGGGGCTAAATAGGAAAAGTCTGCTATTTGCCATTAATAATTCAACCAAATGCATTTCCACTAACTCACATGTAATTTGTTTTCTGCAGTCAGCAGCATGGTATCTAAACCCTGAGCTGCTGGAACAGGTCTGCTTGCAGTCTCCATCATGTGGGCCAGTGTGCTGGGGAGATCAGGTGGGGGAGAAGAACTTCTGATAAAATCTTTTCACCAGGAAGGTCCTAATACAGTTCTCTGTTAGAGAAAGAGCTCACCTGGCAGTGTCACCAGTATTTTTGCACCCTGGCATCAGTCAAGACAATTGTTTAACAAAGCCATTTATTCTGCTCTGTGACTTGTAGCTAGCCCACAAGTGACTAGATAATGAATGCCTAGCAACGATATATTTTTTCACAGTTCCTTGAACAACGGTATGAGGGAAAACTTGCTTGATGGTTGAAAGAAATTTCTCCAGCAGTTGAATAAGAAATCTGTATCGCTCTCCTCTGCTCCCTTTGTAAAAGGAATTTGCATGAGTTCACCCTTTCGTGATCAAGACACTGTGTACATTCGAGGCTGGTCATTTTCTTTTGTGGAGCTGCCTTTAAAAATATATTCTTCCAAGTACAGCAGGAAAACAAATGTGTTTCTTCTCACCCCTTTATTAATGTTACACTCACCTTTGCCAGATGTGCTTAAAGGGAGAGAGGGAGAAAATAGATGATTAAAACAAAACAATTCTGCTGCCTCCTGAGGTGGTTCATCTGGTACTCCATAGAGCTAATTGCATGAACTCTTAGCATGCTATAGGAGCATTTTAGTGCACAGAGTGGATTGATTTGAGCAGTTGGATGGATTCATATTGATTCAACTTCTTAAACTTAAAAAAACCTGAAAGCAGCACAGTTTTTACTAACTTCTCTGCTGCTGTGCTGGTTTTTAAAAATTAGATTTTATTGTCCATATTTATCTTCTCAGTGGTTTAATTTTTGTGATGAATTAGGAGAAAGGAAAGTGCAGTATACCCTCCTGCAGGACTGCCTTGGAGCCACTGCCAGTTAAAGGGTCTCTGTTTAGAGCTGTAAAGCACTTCAGACACACCACGTGTTCTTGAAATGCCACATGTCAGCCTGAACCTGGACCTCTGTGTCAGAGTAGAGATGTTTCCCACTTGAGCAGAAAGCAGTAGTTCCATGAGCTGACAGCTGGACCACCTGGTCAGCTCTCCTGGGAATCAGGCACTGGAGAAGAGGGATGCACATGCCCTTAGGTCTGGCTAGCTTTGGGCCTGGGCAGCCACGCCACAGCTTTGCCGCTGAGGATTGCAGTGACCCTTATGGCTTCCTTCTGCTACTCCAGCTTGATTTTGCACCCACCTCTTTTCATAGCATTTCTTTTGTGAGCAGTGATACGCTCCTTGCACACGTTTGAGACGCAAAAAAACAATCAGACTTTGTGGAGTTCAAAATAATGGGTGTCGCACTGTCAAGGAATTAATACTGATCTTATTTTTACGCTGTTCTGTCAAAGGCCTGTTTCTGCTGACTAATAGTTGGTAACAAGGCAGAACCTGTATGACAGACTTAAAAAGAAAAGGTCTGAATAATCTTACATCTAAATGAAGCATTAAGTACACTTGTTAACCTGCATCACTCATACTGCAGCGAGGAAGTTGATTATCTCCTTCTTCAGGAAGGAGTGAGCTCATCCAAGTATCTAAGTACAGCACTCAACAGTTTGTCATGGAATGGTGTTTCTTGGAAGCGCTGGGAGCTGACTATGAGGCAAAAACAAGATTGCAGTGATTCAGCTCAATTCAGCACGTGCGTTAGCTAGGGTTCATGTGGTGTCTCTGTCTTCCCTTTTGCAGCCATGGAACAAGGTGTGCGGGAGAAGTGTCTGCTGCTGCCAACAACAACATCTGCGGCGTGGGAGTTGCATACAACTCTAAGGTGGCAGGTATTGTAGTAATTCCTTACACCACTGCGTCTCAGGCAGAACTCCTGCAGAGACAAGGAGCATTGCCCAGGATAGAACTGCAGGTTGGCACTGGGCCATGTGTTTATTACTTTTCACAGTAGCTGGGGAGAGGAATTTCTCTATGGCTTTGCCTTTTGAATTGAGGGCCTTGTATAGCCTCTTTAATAACACTGCAAAGGAACAGCTCTTCTTCTTATGCCAACTCCTGTTTGTATACTGTTTTTCACTGCTTCTTCCCTGTGTTGTTGCAGAATCATTTGTGATAAATCTCATTTTAATCTCATTTTGCAGGAGGTAAAATATAAATTCCTGCAGCACTTAGAAACTACTTGAAAAGACAAATCCTGCCATTCTTTCATTCTTTAGGGTCTCACAGGACAGGCCCTGCAGTGCTGGTAGGAGTAGATACACAGAATGAAATGGGTGGTGTTTAGCAGCCAGCATTCACACTTCAGGTGTATTGGGTGTTTTTACTTCTAACTAGCTGTTGTCTACACTGATAGACTGAATACAGGGATTGGAGTGAGTTAGGCTCTTGGATGTCATGTGTTGGTTTAGTTTAATCTAAAGAAATCCAGTTTTCCCACTCTAAGACTGTTCTGTGATGGGAACCAAGGCACAGGAAGCAGAGATAGATGATTATGAATTTCATTTCATTCACCAGTCCACACTAAAACTCCAGCATGGATACTCATTGCTTCTTGGGAATGGTTTACAGCATGTGCGCAAGAGCAGCTCTGCTCTATTTGTCCAGTCCTTGTTTCACTGCAATCAAAAGAGTCTGGAGAAGGCTATGTTTCACCTATCACCTGCACAGTCAAAAGCTGAATCTCCACTGTAGAAGGGCACCAAGGAATTTTTGCAAAGCCATTACCCCAAGAGATAACACTGAGAGTTAGCAACTTGCCAGGCAGGTCTAGTGCACATTTCTTCAGTAATAGTAATGTCCCCTCTAGAGACGGGACATTTCATATTTACGTTCTGGCAATAACTACTTTTAGAGGTGCGTGAATTGAGGCATGGGATTTCAGGTGGACCTTAATCTGTATTAGTAGTATAAGTCTACAACTTCAAGCTGGTTGCTTAAAAATCAAGAGGTGAAGGCCTTCTCTGATGACCAACAGCCCACAAGTAGCCTTCCATACTTGTCCACTTCTTAGAAAAATCCCCACAGATCTTTTTGGCAGTGCCAGGCTTTCCTGCCTGAGTCCAACGTGCACCTTGTGGTCAGTGGGAACATGGAGACTGAATAATGCTGAAAAAGTGCTGCTGACATGATTCAGTGTCCGTGCCTGCAGGTAGAATTGGAAGTTGGTAGCCAAGAGTCTGGGGCATCATGTGTTTTGCTTTCTTGTACCTCTTTTTTGCCCTAAAGTCAAACCAGATGGCTTGGCTCCTTTTGTTGTTTCCCCATCTCCCCAGGGTCAATAACTAATTCTGTGGTTTCAGTGCGGATCTGTATTTTACAAGCATGTGAAGGGATTTCTCACTCATTAAGTCTGACTTCATAATTTCTAGCTTGAATTAACAGATTAGGAATATCCAGCTTTAGTCTGGTTTCTATTTGAAATTTATACCACTTTTTCCAGCTTCACATTTGGCACATGGATTTTGTATTAAATACAGTAAAAGCACTGGCTTCTAAATCACAGTCTTCACTACCATTCACTCTGTTTGGCTCTGCAGTATTTATTTCTGTCCCATCTGTGTCCTAAAACTGTTGGGAAAAAACTGAGCTTCAGGGGCTTTGAATGAATGGAATGTTGGAATGTGTCTGTCCTTGATCAGGTCTCATCCAAAGGCCACCGAGAGGTTAGCTATCAGTGAAACTGTCCTAAGTGTGGGGCACAATGGATGTGAGGGCTTGTGCTGCTGTCTTGTCACGCTCTTTGGCTTGCTTAGGGCCAACATGTTGTGTTTTTATGAAGTTGACATGTCCTAGGATTGCATCATTTAAACTCTAACTCTATTTCTACTGCTGTATGGGTTAAAGGGAGCAGATTTTAGTTTGCTTTTATCCAAATACTGGCCATATTTTGCCATTGCATACATTGTCTGCATGCTGACACAATAATATCTTTCCAGGAAATTCTTGTGTAGTGTGTTTCCCCTCTGATTAAATTCTGTAAAAGAACCAAAAAGTACTATTGAAATACTTATAGTATTATTTATATGCTATGAAATGCTGAGATTGCTGAATACTGCTGTTTTAAAAGTGTTTTCAAATAGTAGGTGGAAAGTAATATGCAATTAGAAAGCTAACAATGAAGTGCTTTCTCCTGGGCCACACTGTGTTGCGGTGGCTGGTATTTAAATGCTGCCATCCTGCTGGATAAGCACACCCTGGTGAAATGTGAATGGTGAGTGCAGGATTACTGAATAAGTGAAACTGCTGGTGGATTAAAATACCTGTAACTGGAGGACTTTTCTAAGTGCAGAGATTTCATCTTGTCCTGAGTAATGCATAATTCACGTTTATGTTGATTAAATCTACAGGTATTCGAATGCTTGACCAGCCGTTTATGACAGACATTATCGAGGCTTCCTCTATCAGCCATATGCCTCAAGTCATAGATATATATAGTGCCAGCTGGGGACCAACTGATAATGGAAAGACTGTGGATGGACCTAGAGAGCTGACACTGCAAGCAATGGCAGATGGTGTGAATAAGGTAACAGTCATTAACTAGTCTGGGTGCTGTGACAGAATGGTTTGTACAGACTCGCACTGAAACCAGTGACTTGGGAATACATGGTCCTCCCATAGATGCTGCAGAACACCATGCAGTTGTGTAAGCTATCCCAGCTATCAGCATGTTCCAAGGACCACTGATGTTCTTTCTGCAAAATTGTGGAATCGCTTTTATTGTACAGTCTCAGAATACTATGCTCTCTTGCATGGAATTGTGTTTATCTCAAGTCAGCTTACATACACTTTTCATATGCCATCACAGTTGAAGTGGAAGAGCATGATCCTGTAAATATTTCCCAGGTTGAAACATGCTAGCTGTCCTACTGACAACACATTGTCTGTTTTGGTGTGCTACCAATTTAATTATTGTTTTGGATTTGTAGTATCTTTCAAGTCACTCATATGTGGTCATCACTATAGCTGTGATTGAACCACAACTGCTCAGATGTCCATGGAGTAATACGATTCCCCAGTAGCAGGAACTTCCTTGTTTATTCCCACTTTTCCACTGACTTCTAGGAACAGTCTGTGGTCTTCGTTAAAGACACTCAATATCATCCTGGAATCTGTTAAACCTGTATTCCATTAGAAGGTTGGGTTAAATGTATGACACAACTGGAAAAGAAAACAAATCAGTCCAAAACAAACAAGCCAACCTTGCATGGCTCTGTCTCCATCTCTTTGGTGTCACGCAGCCAAGAAAACCACAGCTGTTCCTGGTGCTGTAGGGAATGAGCCTCCTCTCCTCCCAGTCAACCGATTGTAGATGGGTTTCCATAATGAAAAGATCTGAAATTCCTCAGAACATCTGAGGTGGTTTTGTGTGGGAGCTTCACAATTACTCATTTTTCCATGCAAATTATTTCTTCCTCTTACTTGTGCCAGTTTCTCCCACTCTTCATCACCACCTCGCTGTGAGCAGCACGTTCAGTTTACCATGTTTTGTGACATAATAATTAAATCTACTGGTAGAGAAGCATCTAAAGCTTTCTCAAATCTAAAGCCTCAAATCTTTTGCCTATAGCAGATGAATTATCATGCTCTCACCCATAAAATTGCTAGTGTGCTGCAATGACACAGAAAGATTTGTTAAAAATTTCTCCTAAGTCTGCTCAGTTTTGTAGGATAAACTTTACAAATCTCTAATGTGAGTCTTACACAAGCTGACTTTCTTATATTTATCTAGTGTTTCCATAAAGATCCCCTTAAATTACTCCTGTGTTGGAGAGAATCTTTCTTAGGTATGTGACACAGGTGATACATTTTTAGCAACACCACAGTCACAAAATCACAGAATGGTAGGGGTTGGAAGGGACTTCGAAAGATCATCTAGTCCAACCCCCTACCAGAACAGGATCAACTAGAGTAGGAAACACAGGAATGCGTCCAGGCGGGTCTTGAATGTCTCCAGAGAAGGAGACTCCACAACCTCTCTGGGCAGCCTGTTCCAGTGCTCTGTCACCCTCACAGTGAAAAAGTTTCTCCTTATGTTCACATGGAACCTCCCATGCTCTAGCTTGTACCCATTGCCGCTTGTCCTATCATTGGACATCACAGAGAAGAGCCTTGATGTCTTAAAGTTAGTGGATACTTGATGTTGGTTGGAGCAGCTAAAAACTCTGAATTTAGAAGAATTTCCATATAATTTTTGTGTTCTTCTCCTCCCATGCAGAACTTGTCTAGAAGTAACATAAAAGGCAGGGGAATGCAAACTAAACCAAATAGAGGTCCTTTGTCCTCTTAAGAGAAGCAGATTTTAAATTGTAATTATGGGACTTTTTGCAGTTTGATATTCAAAAGTTCTTTCAATTTACTTGTTATTGTATCGCCATGTGCTTTAGTTTGTGGAGTTATGCTGGAATTAACATTCCCTTTGAATGTTAAGTATAGGAGAAGGGATTTTTCCCTTCTGTTCTATTGTCTGGTTGTAGTCCCGTAATTGGGAATGTTGGGCATTTTACTTTTTTAGTGCCTTCCCCTCAGAAGTTTTTGTAATCCTCTTTAAGAAATAACTTACAATATTAAGATTAGAAGAAACTCTGAGATGTCTTGCAGTGAATGCTTATGAAGCAGTGAGAATGGTGACTGTGAGCTGCTCTCTGGGAAAGATTGCTCTCATACCGTATCAGAAAGCATAAAATTAACAAGAGAACCTGCATTAGGAAAGCAGTCATGTCAAACAGCCACTGCAGAATTAAAGAGTAGGAGGAATGATACAAGAGTCTACCTAAGACAGATACTCTTGTCCAGGGACAATTACGCTTAATTTTATAGTGGCAATATCCCAGCTATCTCGTGGCAATACATGCACAAAAGAAGAGACAGCTCCACCCCAAATAGCTCCCTTTGCATTGTGATCATAGCTTTATCTACTCTTACTTTGCCCATTACACTTTCTGTTATAGAAGAGTTTTTTGGGTATAGTTTGTTCTGATTTTTTTTTTGTGGAAAGCCAGATTTTCTAAAGATGTTTCAGGATGTTAGTGGGTGTTGGGTACTCTCCATGGTGTTATGAAAAACCCACTACGGATCTTCCTTCATATAAAGGAAGACTCACCAGCCTTTAGTATAATACCCTTTTACTTAGTTTAGGTAAAAACCTAGGTGTTCCTGTGTGATCTTCTCTAGGTGATCATAGAGTCATAGAATCATAGCATGGCTTGGGTTGAAAGGGACCTTAAAGACCATCTAGTTCCAACACATCTGCCATGTGCAGAGACACCTCCCACTAGACCAGGCTGCTCAAAGCCCCATCCAGCCTGGCCTTGAACACTTCCAGGGATGTGCTCTAGAAGGGGTGTTGGGCTAGATGATCTTCAGAGATCACTTCCAACCTGCACCATTCTGTGATTCTGTGATTTGGACTGAACCCTAACTGAAACCTAATGCTCTGTCTCTTCACCAAAAGTGTAATTTTCTATTCATTGCTCTTGACTAACATTAGTCCATCCAGTTTCAACAGTAATTTATACATGGAGGATGGCTCAGGCATTATTTTTAGCCAAAGGAGGTATTAACAGTAATGCAATTAACTGGGGGTTGGTGACTGGGAATTCAGTACTCTTCTGTGACCAAGTCTAGGATAAGTTACATAAAGACTTATTTTCGAGTTTAACTGTTATAGGGCCTAGTTCTTTGAGAATCTTATATGCAGCAATCTCTTGTACTTGGGTGGTTATTAATTGACTCAAATAGTTTCAAAAATCTGCTAGGAGAAACTAACAGATGGTTATTGAAGGCAACAAAATATGAAAAGGACAAAAACAAGAGAAGCACGACTGAGTAATGGTTCCAGGTGATGGCCATCCTCTGCATAGCAGCCCAGTGTTTAGCTGAGTTCTTGCTCCTGCCAAAACAGCCTCTTCTCCTTTCCTATTGAATGCCTGAGGGTTAGACAGGCCAACAGCAAAGGGACAGCACCTTCAGCAGTGGTGAATTTGAGTAGGATGACCCAGCTGCTGTTTCTTCTGGGCTGAACTCCATGACTTGTGGGTGTGCTAGGCAGGCCAGATATCCTGGGCTTTTCCAGGAGCATAGTACAGCAGCTCCGGGCTTTTGTAAGGGGCTGGACATGAGAGAAGTGCTAAGGCATTCAGCTCATACAAGACAGCTGTCCCCCTGAACGTGTGCAGTGGCAAACTTTGGAAATTCAAATATCTTTCCTGCTG